CCTTTGCAGTGTGGGAGTAGCACCACTACAAGGGTTAAGAATAATTATGCCTGGAGTTCTTTAAAGGTACTTGTAAGTTAAACTGGATTCTCAGGCTTTAAATGCATACAGGTAAGCCATTCAGTTTTGGATATCTTGGGTAAGAGTTACAAGTTCTGTTAGGTTTTTATTTCTGTCTGTGACCTCCTTTCCTCCCTTCCTGTGCCTGTGATGTCTGTACAAGGAATGGGGGGGGGGGGGGGGGGGTGGGGTGGGGGGGGGGGGGGGGGGGTTGTCACCAACAGCAATAAAAACATTTCCAAAAATACTAATTCTTCCTCACTCTATTATGACCTATGTCAATGGGCTTTTGGGCTTATGTTAACGGCATCAATTTGAAACACTTCTGAGATTATTCAGAATTCACTGACAGACGCATTGACCTATGGTTGACCTCCTTCTGACGTGCATTTGACCTGCAAAACTGGAGCAGATAGAATCTGCAGGGCAAACAATTCACACATAGGCCCCATTCACACCTCAGCCTTTTGTAGCTTGAAGCAACACACGTTCAACACAATTGTTTTTTATGTCCCCTGTTCACACCTGAGCATTCTGTCACTTGTAGCAATACGCCTGTAGCTTCTTTTTAGGCAGATTTCAGCGTTTTTGTCCCTATAGACTTAACTTAATAGAAACACCTTAAAAGGAGCATCACAAGCATTTGTTTGTGCTTTTCTGGCATTTTTGCATGATGTCACAGATACTTCTGCTTTCCATTGGGCCAATTAGACAAAGGCCTGAAGCTGAACGCCTGCAAAACACTTCAAAAACACGCATATTCGCACATAAAAAACACTATTAAAAAAGTGTGAAAATACCAATGTCTAGGTGTGAACATGGCCTAAAGCTTTAAAAATGACAGATAGAAACTTACTGGTTGCCATACACAGCTGATTTTGTCTGCTCCAGTCTTAGTAATGCCTCCGAATGTGTTTTTATGTTTGTCTATGTCCCCGTTGGAGAGATTTCCCATCACTTTCTGTCCTGTCGGAAAGTGAGGGGAAATCTCCCCAACAGGTGTGGACAACATCTTCTAGATTGTATATTGTGGTGCCATCCACCAGTTGTTCCAGCACCCGTTGGATTTTAGGGTACATCAGTATGCGAAGGGGATATTACAAAGACATCTTCCCAACAGAGACACAGAGGACAATAAAAACCCAACAGGCCCCAACCCTTCAACACGTCATCTAAACAAAATAACATGGGCTTCACCATATTGGAAATTAAACAAATTTCTGATTAAATACATGCCTTGATTATGGCAGGAATGATAGGTCGGCGTTTTTCTATTGTTTTGTCAGTTTTTTGTTTTTCTATGATTTTGTCTTGTAGAGGCACAAATCATTGAAAGGATATAATTTTCCCTATTACAACTGGAGTGCCTTAAAGTGCGAGAGAAAGATTGTTCTCTCTTGGAAAGTAGAACATTGTTACTTACCAACAGAATGATTTACTCTTCAAACAAAGACTATCAGCTTGAAGTAATTTATTCTCATCAAAGACCAGCCCTTTTTACACAGTGTACAAACAAAAAAATCTGACCTTAAAGTGAACCTGTTATCCTTGTATCAATATATATTGTATGTGCGTGTTTCAAATTTCAGTTTTACACCGGTACTACTTGACTTGGGGGAGCATCTGTGGAACATTCCTGACATGATGGTGCACTGCTGGCTAAGCACAGGTATCCTCTGAGCCATTTGGTTCAATAAACTCTTGTGTCCCAAGGTCAATGGGTGCTTAGTGAATGTGTGCTGAGTGCCCACCCTTTAATGTCTTTGTACACAAGGTCAAAGTCATACTATATATTTCATTGTAATTGGCATGGGCCACAAAATGGTAAACAGAATTCACTGTTCCTTTAGGCTTATAATAGCTTGGGAACAGTCTGTTTGACTTTCAGTATGAGCTTGACTATGAGCTTGGATTAAGGCCAGCGGTTAACTAGTTGAAGTGTATGTGGTCTTAGAGTATACATCCACTTAATATAGAAGCAAGTTACATCTTTTCATTCCTTAGGTGAAAGGGTTTAAAAGTTACTGAGTTGGTCCTGCAGGGGTTCTACTTTGTGCTTGTAGGCTCCTTTATGACACAGTTGACTAACTGCTGCACAAGAAAACAGAGATTTGCTGGTGATCTTATATGCAGAGATACTGAAATGTGTTTTTATGTAACAGTGGGTTATACAAATATATATGCCTGCCTGCAAGACCTATAAAAACATTCATGCAATCTCGTTATTGATTATACAACAGTGGACAAATTTGTTGGTACCTTTACAGCTCATTGAAACAGTGCTTCATTATTTTTGAAAAGCAATGAAATTAAAGAAGTATTGGGAAAGTATAAATATACTCTTCCCGGTGTGGGACACTGCAGCTGTCACATGCTGGCTCTATCTAGTGAGAGCTGAGTGATCATGTAGCCGCTGTCAGCCCCCGCTCCTGGCAGGGGTTCCTGCTACCTCTATATGTACCTCCAGCGCTCACTAGAGGGACAGACAGGTAGGAGGTGGGCTTAGTTGGCTGGATCTAGAGAGGCACAATAAGCTGTCAAACAGGCAGCCGGGACAGGCTCCACACTGTCAGCAAAGAGCCCACTGAATCCTGACTTTGGGTCCAAGGAGTACATTAGTAAATGTGCTCCTATGACCCAAAAGAGAAGCAAAGCCAAAAAAGTTTGGCTTTATTTCTCTTTTAAAAACAATTATCTTATGTATACTTGCATGCCTTTGGTATGTGGCAGAGTAAAACAAAGAAAGCATACACTATTGCTTATTCTACAAAGGTTTGTTAATGCCCCTAGAAAAGATTTTAAATAATTGGATCATGGTGATATCTCAAACTACCTGTGTTCTGTAATGATTATCACTCGTGTCTTCAATCTTACAATCTCTAAGCCTATTTCAGTGGAGAAAGGTAGTCACTCTGCTGTTTGCTATCATCATGTGCACCACACTGAACATGGACCAGAGAAAGCAGATAATCAGAAAGAAAATTATAGACATGTCAAATGTAAAGGCTACAAAACTGTCTCCATGTTCCTGCGACTAAAATTGCAAATATCATTAGGAAGTGCAAGGTCCATTATTAAGAAGTGTCAGGTTCATGGATGTGGACACAAAATGAAAATCAACCCCAGATTCATCAGATCAGGAGGAAAAAGAAAAACATAAAAAAGACAGTGGAATTTAATAAAATGCATATTGAAACTACAGGGGACGTTCTGCACAATGCTGGAGAGAGTGTGGGGCAGTGGGCACCCTCCTGCACACTTTCTGGGAATGCCCTCTCCTCCATGGATATTGGGGGGAGGTCTTTAACATTATTAGCACTGTAAGCTCCATCAGAATCGATCCCAATCTGATCTGGCAATACTGAACTTAGGGATCGAGATTTTTCCACCCAATAGTAGAATTGTTATAACTCACGTCCTACTAGCTGCACATCTCCTTATTGCCAGAAATTGGAAAATGCTTGAGGCCCCATCCCTCACCCACCGTATCCACCTGGTACAACTCCATTACAAGTTTGAAAGGGCTATATCATTTAATAATGACAAACTCAAGCAGTTTGATGTCCCCTGGGGACTATGGACCGATTGGTTCCCCACAGTCGAACGTACTATCCACTAATTCATTTGGCTCCGTGGATAGGATATACCTCCCGCCCGATTTGGGCAGGGAAGGACGGCACTGTACTCAACACATGAGAGACAAGAGTGTTATTTCTCTATCCAATGCCCTAGATATTGGCATAGATGTTGTGATAGGCGGAATATGCCACTTACGATACTGACTGTGATCCATTATGCTCGATTTTGTTTTTGTGTGTTTTGCCTAATTTGACGACTGTTATATGCTGTATTCAATCTCAGCACAATGTGTACATGTGTGACTATGCACACAGGCAAATGTTTGTCTGAATGTTTTCAATTTTTGTACTGTTGGAAAACCTAATAAAACTTTTTTTCTGGAAAAAAAAATGCATATTGAAAAGCCATAATGCTGAGCCTCGATCTGAACCCTATAAAACATCTATGGAAAGAGCTAAAACATGCAGTCAGGAGACGGCACTCTTCAAACCCGAGACAGCTGGAACAGATTGCTCAAGAAGAGTGGGGTACACCTATTGGCAGGTGCAGAAGTCTCATTGAGAGCTACAGGAATCACTTGTTTACAGTGACTGCCTCTCAAGGTTGTGGAGAAAAATATTAGGTAAAAGGTCCCATCATTTTTGCCCATGTCAATTTCATTTTATAGATTTAATAATATTTAAAATATTTTGTTGAATCAAACATCAAATCAAAGTCTGATTTTTATTAAATATGGAATAAAAATGGTGGATGCCAATTAGTTTTGTCAGGTTCTAGCTATTGCAGCGAAAATTGTGGGTTCTTTTTTTCATGGAAGGGAACCAACAAATCTGTCCACATCTACATGTGTACTCGAAATACCTAAATAAGAAATAGTATAGATAACTGCTTAGGGTTCTAGGTACAGTATATAAATTGAACCTGTGCTATGGAAGTGTAAAGAAACCGCCATTGGATTTTTGGATGTTCTAAAGTTCAAATTCGAACCGAACTCGGGCCTGTTCACCCCATCACTCAGAATCCTATATGAAAATGGCATTCTCAAGCATTACTACTCAGAGTAACCATTTTTAGATAATGTCCCAAATTTGGGTTACGCTCATGGTTAACACCTAGGAGGCCTGATCTTCATGGTGGCAGAGTGGTGAAAGTATCAGTCAACATTTATGAACCCGGAAGTGCTCTGCTGTAAGCGTTTCCGGCTTTGCGACTGCCACATGGAAACAAACCGAGTTCTGCCTGTACTTTATTTGGTTTGATGTTCGTGTGACTATAATTGCAAATAGTAAGTCTACATCTGTTGCTGTTATGTGTTTCTTTTCTCTCTATTTCTGTATATCATCCTTGACTCAAATATGCAGATATGATTAGTCGTGCATTAGGACCAGAGTTTGGTGGCAGTATTGGTGTTATGTTCTTTTTTGCAAATGTCTTTGGAAGTGCCTTATATATTTTGGGTCTGGTGGAAACCATTGTGGCCATGTTTGGAATACAACCAGGTAAGTGAGGAATGTAATGTGTAGTATTGTTTGCGCAAATAAATTTACTTGAAATACACAGATATGGATATGTAATCTAGAAGTGGTGGTGCTTATGTTCTACACATGTTTTTATAAAAGAAAAAGCATCATATGTAAAATATTCTGAACCAAACTGAAGTCCATTGTGTTTTCCACGATGGTAACCAATGCAAGCATTTAAAGTCAATTAGGAGTTTGCAGGTTATACTAGACCTTGAATATTAGACTAAGCATTCTATGAGAATAAAGCAACTTCTCAGTCACGCATCAAAGCTTAAATATGCAAAGAAATTATGAAAGTGAAACTATACAGCTGTGACACAAAAATTGCAACACATTTAGCCATTTACTGTCATTGTTAAAGGAGAACTATGGGGGGGGCTTTTCCCCATAGTTCTCCTTAGGGTAACGGGAGGACACAAACTAGCGTCCTCCCGTCACCCTAGGCTCGCGGTATACTGTAGCTCGCGGTATACTAAGACGCCGCAGCTGAAGCGGATCCCGACAATTATGCCGGGATCCGCCCAGCTGCGTGACTGACGGCTGGCTCTGCCTATCTAGAGGCAGAGCCAGCTGTACCCGCCCCCTCCCCCGTCCGTTCCGCCAGTCAGAGCTGGCGGATCAGAGCGGGGAGGGGGGAATCCAGCCCCTCCCCTGTCACGGCAGAGAGCCGTGACAGGATCGAGAGGTGAGCGAACGCCGGTATGTGTTCGCTCACCTCCCGATCTACTAAGCCAACCTGTGACAGTCTCATTGTCACAGGTCGGCTAGAACTATGAGGTGAGTGAAAAGCACTCACCTCATAGTTCTCCTTTAACACATAAGGTGGGAAGACTGCTTACTCAGCCATCCACATAATTCTGTGTTGGGAAGCTAAAGCTGGCCATATAGGTTTCAGTCTGATTGTACAATCTCTGTATAATCACCTTTACCAAAATGATATAATGTGAAGTCTTACTCATACAAACCTTCCAGTTTGTATCCAATCAGGCAGACATTAGTACTACACAGTTATTGGTGGATGCAAAGAAGGTTGTTTAATCAGATTGTAATGTGTGTGTAACTAGGGTTGCCAACTTCACAGTTACTACCCGTGATGTCTTTGGTTGACTCTGGAAGTACAGAAATGTGAGGGCTTACCACTACTAGTGATTGAGGTGATGGGCTGGTAGTTGCCAGCCCATCACCTTTAATCCAGCAGCTAGTACTCTTGTTCACAAGGTTGTTGTACTACTGGGAGTAGAGCAGAGTTTTGTAAAATGTGAGGTTTTGTTACCAACTTCCTCTCCTAAATATATTGCCATGTCCACCACTGGGGATAGAACACCTGTTAAGTTTTCCTGGTGGGTATGTTTACCTTCTCTGTTAAAGAAGGTGAGGGCATATCTTCTGTTGCTCCCATTACTTTAGAGAGAATTCACTTCCTGTTGCGTCTCCAGGACAATGTGGAAATTCCCTCAATGGGAAACAGCAAAAAAAGACAAGGGTTTTAAAGTGTAACTAACAGCATCATTTTTTTTTAGACTTTTTGAGATTCCATAAAGTGGTAGAGCCACTGTCAGGTTATTATTGCTTTCTGTGTCACTATTAGGGAAATTTACTCTCTATAATTGTCCTGATCAACACTGGCACCAGGAATGAAAGAGAGGGTAAATCTAAAATTTTTAGTTGTCACCAGAAGAGGAATAGAAGGGAATCTTCCAATTGGAACACATGTTGCTGTGACAGCTATCTAATAGAGGATTTCCTTCACATTAGAAGGATATTGTCCCACTTCCTGTTGCATCTACAGGACAGAGAGTGAAAGTAAATCTCCATAATGCATCCCAGGAGGCGTGTGATTGTGTAGTAATTTCCGCCAAGTGCTACTAAAACCTAGGTACTGCTTGTTACTTTTATAGCTGTAAGCACAGGCCAATCAGGAAATCCAAGCATTTCCATCATTCTGTTTATTTAAACTGGAAGATAGGGGGTAGTCACAAGGTTATGAAGTTGGAAAAAGGAGAGCATAAATCCAGCCATGTTTCCAGGAAGGCATATATTATTTTATCTAACTAGTTTTCTTAACTCAGAACGTCTTTAGAGAAATCATTCTATAACTATACATATTTATTCATTTCAGCACTAAATACTCCTTTTTAGTTTTAATGCATACAGCATGCCATCCGTTCATTTTTCCTGCAACATGAATGGTATAATGATTGGCCTAAAGGACTGTTAAAAATCTCATTGTTCTATGGTAGCAGGAACCCTTGCCCAGAATATGATTTTCGAACATGTTGCTATTCCCTTAGGGACTGCAAGGGTTTCATACTTGGAGAGATGAAACAAGTCTGATGTTCTGTATAATTCGGAGCTTGATCAGACATTTCCCATCTCCCAGCTCACTCTTTCTCTTGTTGCCAGCTCCTTTTACTGGGCCCCTGATGCTCTTCAATTTGCATGAGCAGGAAAGTCTCCCTGAAGTGAAATTTGAAAAGTTGCTAGTGCTGCCTGTGCTCATCAGTGATTCCTCTGCCTTGATGAAGACGCATGAGATAAACACACTCTCACTGCCTCTTTTCCCCCAAGACACGAGTACAGAGAGCTCTGATCTGCTCCTGGAAATCACGGCTCGCTGTCCCTTCTTAAAAAATGTTGTTTACTCCTAATTTTCCACTCATTTCACGCCAATCTAGCTGTGGACGCTCGCAATCATGAATGCGGTACTGAGATGGAAGCGGCAACAACCCTATGGCTCTCAGAACGAGCACTGTAAATTAACCCATTACTCACCAAAGTATGTAGATGTTGCACAACAGTAGGTCTGTTATCCTCCGCAAAGGTGCCAAAGGTAACAAAGACCACATATGGGAACCCAACTCTCAGCTTTGCACCTTTGCAATGATGCACACCATTATTTTACTAGCAATGTATGTTTAATTAATTTGATATGGTAGCTCTCCATGGACATTTCCATAGTGTCCAGCATCTCCATGTTCTACTGTCAGTCAAAGGATCATAGGATCGAAACTGATCTCCACATCATGACATGAAAAAGTAATGATGTGGAGGTCAGCAGGAGGAACCTTTGGGAGCTGTGGGGAACCCGGGAGATTGACACTTGCGGAAATGTTGCTTTTTCAGCAGACTTTGGGGGAAGATCTCTACTGACCAGAGTGGCATTCAGCAGCATGGGCAGCTGGAGAGGCAGCTATTCAGTCTCTTTGGTAAAGGTAACAGCATAATTTTGAGATTTTAGATTGGCGGCAGAGTCACTTTAAATTAAACCTGTACTGAGAGAAACATGGAGCTGGGAAATCTGTCACCTCCTTATGAAAATCCCAGTCACCTGACTGTGAGTGCTAACCCTCTGACTTCACTTCTTTGAGTTACCCCCTTACAATACATTATGCTAAATGAAAGAACTGTTCTTGCAGAATCAGAGCAGGCAATTTTCTCATTACATTGTGGTAGCTTGGCTGGTTCAGACAATTTGATAACTAGTAAGTAGTGACCGCACACAAGAAACAAAAATTAATATTAAAGTATGCCATTTTATACCATCTAGGCATGTTTTGAAGATTGCTTTGGAGCTCCATTATGTTGCCTGAAAACAGTTGTTTTTAGGAAAAATGCATCTCTTTAATATTTGCATTCAAGCCTGGAAAGCATTGCAATTGTGATCACTTGATCACAGCTGCAAAGCTCAGGCTTCTGCACATTCTCTCCCAGGCAGAGCTCGTACGGAGGTACGGCGTTTCAGTTAGGAGAGATGGGGGAAGGACGGCTGGACTTCAGACTGCATTAAATCACCTAGAAGTTTACAAGTTTGGGCTTCATAAATCATTCAAGGCTGACATGAAGGAGCTTTACAGTGGTAATGATGCTTTGTGCCTGTGTCTTCCAACGCACAAAATTAGAGGTGCACCAAAATGGAAATTTTAAAACCGAAACGAGACTCGAATGAAAATAAAATTGTCAGGCCGAGACCGAAAATGTTTTTATTTTAATTTTTTATCAAATTTTTCAAATATTTTATTTGTATTTATTTTTTATAAACTTTTTAATTTTGTAATATTTATTTTTATTTATTAATTAATTTTTTATTCAATATTTTTATTTTTTACATTACTTTTAGGGGCTTCGGTGAAATATTGGGGGTCTAAACCCCTAGACCCCTGATATTTCCATTTTAAAATAGAAAAAGAGATTGAGGACAAAAAGTCCTCAATCTCTTTTTCTGTGTCCCTTGTTATCAATGAACAGGAATCCTCTATCAGTGTTCCTGTTCATTGATAACATGAGAACATGGTATGTTTACTATAACTACAATTATGAATGAACAGGAGGTGATGTAGATCACTTCCATTCATTCATAATTGAGGCTATAGTACACATACCATAGCCTCAATTATCTACAAGCACTCAGCGATCACTGAATGCTGAGTGTTTGTACCTGGCTCTCCTCTCTGACGCTGTGACAGCACGGCCTGTTTCCCCCCCACACACGTCTCTGCCGGACTGTGATTGGAGGCTGAGCGATGTGGGAGGAGAGACGCCGGCCGCTCACATCGCTCTCCCCCAGCAGCGCTCGGCCAGCTGTCACTTTCTTTCCTCCCCGCTGGGACACAGAGCAGCGCCCAGCATTACGCCAAAAGTGCCATTTTCGGCCGATATGTTTCGGTAGCCGATATATCGGTGCATCCCTACCCAAAATAAAATTAAATTCAAAGTTGGAAGAACTTATACATGATAGTGCAGAGTTTTTTTTTTTTTATACACTGAGAGTCACCTTCAACCTGTACAAGGCATTCTGCAATAATACAATCGTCTTTTGTAAGAGTCACAGAACATACAGTAAAACAGATTTATAGCCTTGTGTTTCTGTTGTCTTCCTGTTGGGGGGTTTGCCTGCTGCTCTTATTGAGCTTGTATCTGACTGGAGCAAAACACCCTACAATCACTGAATTCTGTTACCATACTAGAGTGGGAAGTAGGACCAAGTAGGGCCAAACCTTGTGCCGGCCCCTTTACACAAAGATGGTTTATCTTTAAGATTAATGAGGAGGTCCTACAGGTCACTGAATCTGGCTATGTTTAAGGATAATAAGAGCACATCCTTACTGCTTGAGTGAAGCACAGATGGTTGCCTTGAGCTGACTGGTTTAGAAAACCACGGGTAGACTTCGGCATTGAGATCATGCTTGAATTTCCCAGCATCCTCTAGGGAGTGGGCATAGTCTATGAGCACTTTTACACTGATTTCGCAGGAGCATAGCTCTGTGTATTACTGAGTTTAAGGTCATCTTTGTCAATTACAGTGGTTTATTGTTGTGTATGCACCCTCGCATTTACAAAGGCCTGTTAGGCTTTCAATTACAAGTCAAGGTTTAACTTACTTAAACTGCATGCGCTTATTTCTACCTAATAACATATCAATGAAGCAAATGTATAGACCGGCATCTCCAAAAGAGAATGGCGCTGTGGATATAACATTGTCACAGCTGGAGGTGGGAAGTATGATTCATTGTAAGACAAAGCATACACTTGCAAAGAGACAGCTGGTGTTAAGTACTGTAAGAGTTTACGTTTGAGGGTTTTATTTTTGTTTTAAAGCCTTTCCTACTCCTGAGAAAAAAAAAGGAGTTGAGTTATAAAACGAGAGCAAAAATGGAGCTGTCACGCAGAGAAATCACATTTTGTGTTTCCTTTGAAAGATTTCATCTCAAATAAATTTCTAGTAACATGATTGGTTACAGTAGGCAACAGCTCCATGTTGCTTCAATTGTTATAAAAGCCTTTAAAGGGAACCTGTACTGGCAGAAATATGGAGGCTGTAGTGTTATTTTGCTTAAAGACTTTTGATAACTGAACTACTTATTAGAAGTCACAGAAGACCAAAGCCATCACATCTGTTCTGTATTTCTCTGGGGTTTTGGGGGTAATTATTAAATAAGAATACATTTAGGTTTAATTGACAAATACAACACACCAGAATACCTGCCGAACACCGTTGTTTTAGGAAAGAATGTTGGTGAACATTTATGGTACTTTAACAAAAAGCAAACATTGTTTCTTTTTTGCAGGTCTTATTTTCTGTTACCTAACTAGTGTTGAAGTGAACATGTGGCCATCTAATCCATAATAATCTGCACATGGGACTTTAATGCACATACCTCCCAATGCCTACATGTTTCTCTTTCATTCAAATGATGCCCCTGTGTCCTGAAAATTGGCAGTGCTTTAATACAGAAAACAAGAACAATGGCTTTCAAAATCTGACTGTGGCTTTTGCTGCTTTCTATTGTTCCTTAATCCCTGCAGACTGCTAAGTGTGAAGGGCAGATTTATTGTCCAGTACAGATTAGGAAGTGCTAGACCTCAACATGGCCATTACAGCTGTGGTCCATGTGTCCTGTAAAAAAAGCACTGGTGATTTTTTTTTTTTTTGGGGGGGGGGGGGGG